CATCCAACATTAACTTAAAAAAATCAACAATGGATCAAGCAACAACAGCCTGTGAAGATATAAACCTCATTATCAACAAGAACAAAACAGTACACATCAACTTCCGAATAAACAATAACAATAAAAGAACAGACGATTGGTCCGGATTGAGCATTCCCACGGTTGACTCAACTAAATTCCTGGGTATCTACATTGACGAAAACCTAAGCTGGCAGATCCATATAGATTACCTTAGTAAAAAACTGTCTACTGCACTCTTTGTACTCCGTAGAATCTGCAACACCACCGATCTGGACACTACAATGATAGCCTACCACTCCATCTTCGCTTCACACTTGAGATATGGCATTGCCGCATGGGGTTCTACATCTGCCAAAAACCTCGAAAGAATATTAATTCTACAGAAAAAGACCGTAAGAACAATCTTGAGGTTGGACCCAAATGAACACTGCAAACCACACTTCATCCGACTCAACATCCTTACCATCACATCACTGTATATCCTTGAAACCATCATTTATTCCATAAACTTAACACCTGTCCGCAGACAAGAACTCCATACACATAATACAAGACACAAAGCAAACATAGATCTACCCCAACATAGACTCTCTAAATTCAGCAATACACCACAATACACTGGCTCAAAATTCTACAACTTGCTACCACAACAATTTAAACATCTACACAACAATAAAACATTTGTCCAACACTTAAAAAAATACCTCACCAATAGACCATATTACAACATAAACGAGTACATAGAGGAACATTCTTACACACACATACGCCAGCTCACTTCGTGAATATACAGAAAAATCCCGTCCAGACGGAAGAACTATGACGATTCCCCGATCTACGGATTGTGGTGAAGACATCGAAGGTAAAAGGTAAAAGGTAAAAGGTGGGATGGCGTGCGATAGGCTTAGCTGCTGCAAAGAGTATATGTGTGTGTGACTGTATGCTAGGAAAAGAAATGTATGTTATGTTGTTTATTATTAATTATGTTAGGAAATGTGTATTTTACTTTTGTTCATATCATGTATTATTGTTATTACTATTATTATTTAGAGGTTAACTGTAAGAAAGGACCATGAGGTCCTAAGTTCGCCTCAATAAAGAAGGATTTTCATTTCATTTCATTACCTCCGTGGCCACTGAAACCCTAAGAGGATTCTGGCCTCCCATTCTATTCTATCCCCTGCCTCTTCTAGAATGTAGATCCCAGTCTAGAGATGTCTTTAATAACTTGGTCTTCATTCTTGGTATTCCAAGTCGTCGTCTACCTTGAGCTACACCTTAGAATACACTTTTGAAAGTTGCTGATGTATATTCTCTCCACCACGCATAGCCTGCCCATCCGAGCCTTTTACTTTTGTTCGTATCTCAACCTTCGTTATCTTGAACTACTGGTCCGTATATTTTTTCTACACTCTATTCACAAACTCAGCAATAAGGAATTTCGGTTCTTTGGTCAGTCAATGCCCAAATTTCTAAACCATACAGTACTAATGGTAAAGTTGTTATGGTATGTTATGAATCAATTTTGGTTTCTTCTGACACCCTGCAGCTTATTGGATATTTTTCTAGAGACATACTACACCGACATTTTCATTACCAACCAAAATTTTGGTATGCCGACATACGCACATTTGAACATAAAAATAAGAAGGGGATCGTTTGCTAAAAAATATTTCCCAAACATAAGTTAAAATTTTCATGGCATAAACTTTACTTACACAGATTGAATTTATGAAAAACTTGATTATTCACAAGTGTTTGAGATGTATAGTCTAAAATAACACATTTCCTGATAACATGTGATGACGCAGATCCTTTATGGGAGGAAACAAAATTAGGTACAATTTAAAAAGAAATTGTATGTCGGCAAACACAGAGGATCAATATTTGTTTTAAGCAAATAACTTGTAGGCTAACAGAAACATTTCAATGACAGTTTGAAACCAGCTGTTAGTTAAACCAGCACTGAAACAACTTTAAATTGTTAGCGTTGGCTGCTGGACTTGAAACAAATTGAAACCTAATCAAATCAAAATACCTTTATTCTCGAGCAATACTGGTTTACAGAATAACTCACATCACTAAAACTAAATATTCACTAGTCATATATCTAAACAAATTATGTACATGAACAAAAATGACAAACCTGCTTTACAATGCATTTCAACGGTTTTTTTAAGCTAAGGCCGAAAGGCTTTTGAACTGATAGGGTAGGTCTTTGTAAATGGTTGGGCCAAAATAGGAGAACCCCCTCCTCCTTATTTCTAAATTAATTTTTGGAAAGTGGAGGAGGGTGTCTTGCCGTTGAGCAATTGCTCCACGTGTCACAAGTCTTTCCATCAGGTATTTTGGTTCTCTATGAGATAATACCCGTTGGATGAGACAACAAGTTTGCACTCTGTATACAGCATCGGCTGGCAACAGACCAGCAGAATCCCGGAAAGAGGATATGTGTATGATGTGGATGATGCTTATGAAGTCCGTAGACAAAACAAACTGCGGTATTTTTCAGCCTATTAAATCGGTTCACATCCTCCCAGGAAATACTGTTGCCATATGCAGGAATGCAGTAATACATCACTGACAACACCAGAGACAGAACTTGCTTCAATTTTGCAGTCTCTGGAAGAATCAAACGGAATCTGAACAGTCCTCGCAGTCTTCAAACAGTAGTTTGAGAAACGTAAGTGATGTGGTTGGAGAAGGTAAGACCACTGTCAAGAACCACGCCCAAAGTCCTGACAGTGTCATAAACCCTAAGGTTTTCATTGTCAAGTTTAATATGCACGTCAACGTTGTAGATTTTTTTAATTACAATGGGTGGTGATCCGATGTGGATCACTGTGCATTTTTCAACATTCAACTTAAGGCTGTGCTTCCTTGACAACTCACTTATTCTCTCAAGATTCATGTTTGCATCCTCAAAGGCACTGTTGAATGAGACGATTGGGTAGGAGAAATGCAACTATGGCAGTCATCTGCATATGCATACACATTACAGTGACGTACACACGTGGTAAGATCGGCTGTGTAGAGTGTAAAACCAGATGGGTCTCAGAAACCTCTCCTGTGGCACTCCCCTACGCTTTTTAAGGAAAGTGAAGGTGTCTACACCCATCCTGATTACCTGGGATCTGTTTCCAAAGTACGACCTTAGCCAGCTAATAGCCACATCCCCAAATCCAAAGTGTCTCCATTTGCTGAGGAGCAAACCATAGCTGCTGGAATCAAAGGCCTGCGAATAATCGAGCATGTTTAAAGAGCTACATCCACGGCCAACTTTAACTCCAGACCGCGGCCTGCTAAAATTGGCAACGTTGCAAGTAGTGTTGTCTAGCGCCAGACGTCCCATAAGATAACATGGCAGACAGGTGACACCATCTCATTAATTTGTATAATATTCATTAAAATTAAAATTTATGAACATAAATTTATTAAAAGATTGAAATTAAAACATATAGAATTGAAAACCCCAATTCACACATTTCATTTAACATTTAACATTTCATTCAATGTTTAAATTGAAAAACTATTTTTGTACATTTAATTGGAGTCAATATTTTCATTGCCCATTAACCAAGCTTTTGTATTCTTAAAAAAATACACAAATACCATTAGCCACCTCCAAACAAAACAGCTGTTACTTGCGATGTTGCCACTTCAAAGGCCGCGGCCTGGAGTTAAAGCTGGCCATTTCGAGATCTTGGCAAAACAATCATTACCATATTTTCCCAGAATTTGGATTAGATACGTTGATGACATATTTACTGTTTTTGACAAAAACCAGGACATGAAAATATTTACATAACAAATCAATGGACTTTGGAAAAAAAAATTCAATACAAGTATCCGTTACTATAATTTTTTCTCTTTCTTCATCTACTTCTAACAGTTTTTTTTTTCAAACCTTATAGTTGGTCAATTATAATTGTATCTTTGTCTACATCATAAAATTATTCCATTTTTACAAAATATTCATTCATATCACTGACATGAAAATCTTTAAGAATCGCATTATTGCTCTGTTAAATAATTTCAAAAAACTGAAACTCTAAATTATGGCTTCAACATTCTCTTCTTCCTTACAAAATTATATTTCTTTCAACACAAAAATCATGAAAATCCGTCAAATTGGTTAATTTAGAATCGTGAAATAAAAAAAAACCCTGTCAAGTTTTAATGTAAGATTAACAGTTAACACAGCCTTAGCTATTTGTGATTGTGATACAACTATAGAACTATAATTGTTACATCTATTTGGTTATTTATTTTTAAATTCATGAAATATTTGTATGGTTATATGGTCATAACCATATAACCATACAAATATAAAAATAAATATTTTTATATTTAACACATCCTTCTTGATTGTGATGTCAAGTATTGATTTTAGGAGAAAATATCCTCAAAAAATCAACAAGTGGTACTGTACTATCATGAAAGAGGACAGAATAGGAAGAGAGATACCTGCTGATAATATAAATTTGTTCCTTAAAAGCTACATTGCCTTTTGACATAATCGAAGTTCAGGTAACCTTGTGGAGATCCAAACATAACACTACATTCAGGCTAAAATCTAATCTAATTGTCAAACCATTGTTTACTGTCTACCACATTGTTGTTATGATACAATTATTTTTTATGTTCAAGATTAAGACCAGTATAATGAAGACTTTTTTCAAGTGTGTAATAAAATTTAAGATATTATCAAGACAAGACTAATTAATTTTTATCAATTTGAATATTCACGATGAGCCAATAAATACAAGGAAAAGTGGTAGTTTTTAATAAAACTTCAAAATTATTGACACACTTTGTTGTATTCATTAAGCAATTACACCTCAACACAAAGATTTAAAGAGCTACACTATTAACAAATATAAATATCTAAAATATTTTCCCCAGAAATAAGTTTGTCAGTGAGATTAGATATTTTTCAATCTGCCCATTTCTCGTAGATATTGTTGACGTTTCCTCACCTTGCACATGTTAGGCTCTTCGTCAGATCCATCTTCGCAGTCAGGGACTGTGTCACACATGTAGTGGGCCGGGATACACTCTCCCTTGCCTGCACACTGCCAGAAGTTCTTAGCACAAGTCTTTCCTGGCACCTTGCACACCACCCCAACCACCTGCAGCAATACTTATACTGCAACAACTACCTTTATACAGTTTCCATAAAGTATTTTTATAAAGAAAACCACAAAATCTAGAGAATTATGAGCAAGTATATTGCCGCAGTTTAAACTTTTTAATCCTCCTGTACCACAAAATCAATTTTGCTCTTTTCTTATAATTTTTATAAGGAAAACAAAACTCACTTGGATTAGGAATACATTGAGGACGGAATGGGAACACGAATAACTCCCCTGAAATAGAGTTCCAGGAATTTGATGGCAAACTAAAAGTTACAACACATTCTTAATTAAGTTCAGTTCTAATACCACTCACCACTTGTAAACAAATAATGTGTAGTCTAACTGTGTAATCCAAAAATAGATCTGTCGACAATTTTTAATATTCGCTGTAATAATATACCTTACAATCTTTAAGTAAATTTTTGTTAGGTTATGTGAGTAATTAAAAGTGTAAAACACAATGTTGATTGTGTTGTGCATTTTTAGTATGACATTAAATGTCTAGAAAGTTGGTAGTGTATTCATTCTTTCTTACTCATTGTAGGCTATTCATTCTGTATAGTAGTTTTGTTATTTTACAACATTTTTGAAAAATACCGAAACTACTACAAAATCTGCAATTATTACTTTTGACTCTGAATAGTGAAATTAAAAAGGCCACTCTCTAGTACCTAAATTATTTTCAAAAGATATGTCAGTTGAATGAGCAAGTTTAATTGTTTCATGTTTTCACACAAACAGATGAAATAACACATAAAATGCTGCAATTATGTTGAGTTGTCTTTTCAGTTTGATAGATTTAATTTTAAACTTTATAGCAAGTTACTAATAAAACAAAAAAACTTAAAGAAATACAAAATTATTTTACATTAGCACATACAGTACTTCCTGTTACTCCAATTGAACTTTGTTCTTTTTCAATCAAAAATAAGTTTTACTAGGCAAAGGAATTTTGAATTCTGACTACTAAACTGACCTCCTCAGTGCCACAGTCATGAACGCCCCAGCCTCCAAAGTCACACTCCCGGATGCTCGTCTCATTGCCACGGCATTGTAGGTCGTCTACCAGGTAGAGTACCTTGCTAGAGTTGAGAGGCAAGAAGGCAGAGTGGGGGCGAATCTCTGCTGCTCCAAGGGCGAAGCCAAGCTCTCGACAAACAACTTCAGCATCTCTCATGTCAAACTGATCATCACAAACATAGCCCCACTCTCCTAGAACTGTAGAACACAGTGATATCATTGTTATATGTTACACAAGACACTCTACCTTCCTCAAACATATTAGAATCTCTTATGTCAAACTGATCTACACAAACATAGCCCCACTCTCCTAGAAATGTAAAACACATATATCATTGTTAAAAGTTACACAAGGCACTCTCCCTTCCTCAAACATATTAGAATCTCTTATGTCAAACTGATCAACACAAACATAGCTCACTCTCCTAGAACTGTAAAACACATATATCATTGTTAAAAGTTACACAACTGATCAACACAAACATAGCCCCACTCTCCTAGAACTGTAAAACACATATATCATTGTCAAAAGTTACACAAGGCACTCTCCCTTCCTCAAACATATTAGAATCTCTTATGTCAAACTGATCAACACAAACATAGCCCCACTCTCCTAGAACTGTAAAACACATATATCATTGTTAAAAGTTACACAAGGCACTCTCCCTTCCTCAAACATATTAGAATCTCTTATGTCAAACTGATCAACACAAACATAGCCCCACTCTCCTAGAACTGTAAAACACATATATCATTGTTAAAAGTTACACAAGGCACTCTCCCTTCCTCAAACATATTAAAATATCTTATGTCAAACTGATCAACACAAACATAGCCCCACTCCATGGTGGAAGGAAAAAACATAGGTGTGCTATTCCCACATATTCTGACGTCACTCGGATTGCAAACAAAAGATCACCTGATTGTAACTGTCAAATTAGTATGTATTTGTTTTGATCAATTATTGTTTTTATAATAATAAAAACAATAACAACCAAATCAAAACAATACATATATATACTAATTTGACAGTTACAATCAGGTGATCTTTTGTTTGCAATCCGAGTGATGTCAAAATATGTGGGAATAGCACACCTATGTTTTTTCCTTCCACCATGGCCCCACTCTCCTAGAACTGTAAAACACATATTATCATTGTTACATGTTACACAAGGCACTCTCTCTTCCTCAGACATATTAGAATCTGTTGAGTGCAATTTAATATTTGCCACATGTCTGTTTTTAATGTTATACTTCATTGATGAATACCAGATGGTTAAATTGTTAAATGTGTTGTTATAAATAATAATAGTCTGATCCATGTCTTCTTTAGTTGGTTTAATTAAAAGTGTTGAGTTTAATAATTCAGTTTGCCCTTTTATTTTAATGAGCTAGGTATTTTAATTTAGTGTCCAGGGAAACCACATATTTACAGGTTATGGGCCCAGGGCTGTTTAAATACGGAATTTGTTAATATTTTTTTTTACCTGGCTAATCAAACTGAATTAATATGGCAACTGAACATGAAAAGTATCGAATACCATTGTTTGATGGAACCAACTTCAGCAATTGGACATTTAGAATTGAAACTCTGCTGGAGGAATTAGAATTATTATCTTTCGTAAAGAAATCTTATGTTACCAAAGTTGAATATGTTACCGAAGTTGGAAGAAGACACAGATGAACAACGAGAGAGGAAGGAAGCAAGGTTGTTGGAATTAGCGAAACAAGATCGGAAGTGCAAGTCGCAGATTATACAGCGTATTGCCGACAGCCATTTGGAATATGCAAAAGACAAGGCAACTGCTTTTGAACTATGGCAATCTCTCTGCAACACATTTGAAAGGAAAGGTATTGCTAGCCAACTTCTACTAAGGAAGCAGTTACTAACAATGAAGTTTGATGCGAAGAATGACGTTTTAAATCGTCACTTTCTGAAATTTGACAAAGTCATAAGAGAGTTACGTTCTACAGGAGCAACTGTCGAGGAATCTGACATTGTTTGTCACCTACTACTGACCATGCCCAAAGAATATGACGTTGTTGTCACGGCCATAGAGACTCTATCAATGAAGGACTTATCTCTAAGCTTTGTGAAGGTCAGACTGCTGGAAGAGGAGACAAAGAGGAGGGGCGTTGAAAAATTTGGATTTGATTGTACATCACCACCTACTGCCTTTCAGTCTCATCAATGGAAAAAGGAAAATTTTTCAGGAAATCAAGGAACTTCTGGCAACTTGTATAATTTCACTTGTCACAGATGCGGAAAGCTTGGACACAAACGAGCTAACTGCAGAGTCAAATTACCACAAATTTACAGTGTAAATATATGTGGTTTCCCTGGACACTAAATTAAAATACCTAGCTCATTAAAATAAAAGGGCAAACTGAATTATTAAACTCAACACTTTTAATTAAACCAACTAAAGAAGACATGGATCAGACTATTATTATTTATAACAACACATTTAACAATTTAACCATCTGGTATTCATCAATGAAGTATAACATTAAAAACAGACATGTGGCAAATATTAAATTGCACTCAACACCCCTCCTCAATTTAATAATTTTACATTTGACACAATTAACAAACAAAAAATCCTAACATCTTTCTCAAGAAATGAGAAACGAATGAATAGCTTGATTCTATGCTAATGGTGCCTGTTTCAAGCCATATAGTGCCTTTTGCAAATTGCAAACGGAGCCAGGTTTTCCTTCAACTCCTTCAGGAATGGACATATATATATTTCCTCCTTCAGCTCCCCATGAAGAAAAGCATTGTTGACGTCTAATTATTCAAGAATTAATCCACGTTCATTTGCTACAGCCAGCAACACCCTAACTGTTGCAAGACGAACCACTGGAGCATATGTTTCTTCATAGTCAAAACCCTTTCTCTGTGAACATCCTTTGATAACAAGTCTTGCCTTGTATCGTTCAATATTTCCGTCCATGTCTTTCTTCAATTTGAAAACCCATTTACTGGAGATAGCTTTCCTTCCAGGGGCCCATTTCATAATAAAGTACAAACTAATATTATAAGTAAATCAGCTGATCGCCCAATATAAATCTAATGGAAATTACAAGTTACAAGTTGTAACTTGTAACTTGTAGTTTATTATGAAATGGGCCCCAGGTGGTAGTTCAGTGTAAGTCCAAGTTTTGTTTTCCTTTATAGAGTTAAGTTCTTCCTTTACAGCTTGATACCAATGATCCTTATCATCACGTGCTGCAATATCCTTGTAACTTTGCGGTACATCATCGACAAAGGATTCAGCATTCAGAATAAGAACTGCATAATCCTGTAAGTATCTTGGCAATCCTCTTTCTGGTAGAGTGTCTTATTGTTTCTTCTTCATTTACATGATCTTCAATTTCTTCTTCCTCTTCTTCAAGATCTGGTATAGAAATTCTTTGATTTTCATCAGACAATGATCTGGGTTCTTCTTTGTTCTTGTCTTCCTTTTTACTTGATCTGGATTCATGTACATGATCGGGAATCCAGTCTTCAATTGGTGTGCTCTCAAAGTTATATTTTTCCTCATAAAACACAACATTTCTTCCAGTGATTATTTTTCCTTCTTCAGGACACCACAGTCGATGACCATTAGGGCAATATCCAGTAAAGTAACACTTCAAGCACTTGCTGTCAAATTTACTCGGTATTATTTCCTTAGGTAACAGCAAATATGCTGCACAGCCAAAAACTCTTAACTTACTAAGGTTCTCATTGTACCATAAAGCAGCAGCTATTTCTAATCCAAGAACATTAAACACACATCTTGTTTCAACAAACTCTATTTCCAAACTAAACCAATGTTTACAAAAACCTGTTTACAAAAATCATCTGTCAACAAAAGATATTTAAACACAAATAAATCATATGACTAAAAGAACAGACTTAATACAACATCCCGCCTCAAGATGTCTACATCTTCATGAAGATCAGTACCGCCTCGGTATCTTGATGGAACTTCCGTAACGGATAACTGTGCCAGCGCGTGGACGATCGAGTGAGTTAGATGGACAATTAAGGACCGTAGATGAACAGTTTGAAAGAATACAATCTTCTCCGTAGTATGGTGCAGGAACTAAGAACTTCCGGTGTCGTCGAATGGTTCTCTTGTCAGTGTCCACAAGGTAGGAACGTGGTTCGTTCAATTTCCTCACTACTTTACCATGTCTACGTAGATCTGTGATCCATACCATGCTTCCAACTTCTAATTCACTTAAACCACTCGCTCCTATTAAAGACAGACAAGACTTTGACAAAAAAGATGTGTATTTAAATTGGACATTCTTACAAAATCATAATAATAATAAAACATGTGTTAGTTCAATTAAAATAAAGAAAGAAGGCAGGCATAAATTAAACTTGTTTTCATTTGGAGATATAGCCTCTGGATCGTTATTGAACATGATTAAATCTAAGGCTTACCTTACGATCCAATTTATGAATTTATGAATAAATTGGATCGTAAGGTAAGCCTTAGATTTAATCATAAATTAAACATATTAAAGAACACAAATCCATGTGTCAATATGAAACATATTACATCTTTTCCCCTCCAACGGTAAGGACTGCAAGTTTAGTCAGAGGCCGGCGATAAGTTCCTTTTGATGTTGTGATGTCTACTGTTCACACATTTTTTTGTCAAAGTCTTGTCTGTCTTTAATATTTTTTACGAATCTCTTATGTCAAACCGATCAACACAAACATAGCCCCACTCTCCTAGAACTGTAAAACACATTTATCATTGTTACATGTTACACAAGGCACTCTCTCTTCCTCAGACATATTAGAATCTCTCATGTCAAACTGATCAACACAAACATAGCCCCACTCTCCATGAACTGTACAACACAGTGATATTATTGTTATATGTTACAATTGACAGTTTCCCTTCCTCAAACATATTAAGCATCTCTCATGTTACACTGATTAACACAAACATAGCCCCACTCTCCTAGAACTGTACAAAACAGTGATATAATTGTTCTATGTTACAATTAATTGACACTCTCCCTTCCACAAACATATTAAGCATCTCTTATGTTAAACTGGTCAACACAAGCATAGCCCCACTCTCCTAGAACTGTACAACACAGTGATGTCATTGTTATATGTTACACAAGGCACTCTCCCTTCCACAAAGATATCGAGCATCCCTCATGTCAAACTGATCAACACAAACATAGCCGCACTCTCCTAGAACTGTACAACACAGTGATATCATTGTTATATGTTACAATTGACACTCTCCCATCCACAAAAATATTGAGCATCTCTCATGTCAAACTGATCATCACAAACATAGCCCCACTCTCCTAGAACTGTAGAACACAGTGATGTCATTGTTATATGTTACACAAGACACTCTCCCTTCCACAAAGATATCGAGCATCCCTCATGTCAAACTGATCATCGCAAAAATAGCCCCACTCTCCTAGAACTGTACAACACAGTGATGTCATTGTTATATGTTACACAAGACACTCTCCCTTCCACAAAGATATCGAGCATCCCTCATGTCAAACTGATCATCGCAAAAATAGCCCCACTCTCCTAGAACTGTACAACACAGTGATGTCATTGTTATATGTTACACAAGACACTCTCCCTTCCACAAACATATCGAGCATCCCTCATGTCGAACTGATCAACACAAACATAGCCGCGCTCTCCTAGAACTGTACAACACAGTGATGTCATTGTTATATGTTACACAAGACACTCTCCCTTCCACAAACATATCGAGCATCCCTCATGTCGAACTGATCAACACAAACATAGCCGCGCTCTCCTAGAACTGTACAACACAGTGATGTCATTGTTATATGTTACACAAGACACTCTCCCTTCCACAAACATATCGAGCATCCCTCATGTCAAACTGATCATCACAAACATAGCCGCACTCTCCTAGAACTGTACAACACAGTGATTTCATTGTTATATGTTACACAAGGCACTCTCCCTTCCTCAAACATATTCAGTATCTCTCATGTCAAACTGATCAACACAAACATAGCCCCACTCTCCTAGAACTGTACAACACAGTGATATCATTGTTATATGTTACACAAGGCACTCTCCCTTCCTCAAACATAATGTGCATCTCCTATGTTAAACTGATCAACACAAGAATAGCCCCAATCTCCTAGAACACATTCCCCCTTCCCCATGTCAGCCAACTACATCTTTCTTCCCTCACACTGTCATAAGCTGTGACTAAACAAACAATGACTTGATCTTAATATATGAGCTGTTACAAATGTAGCATTAATACACTGTAGTAACTGAATAGTATTATCTATATAATTAATACGCTACATGAAACTTTGTCAGTTGAACTCCTCCGCCATTTCTTAACCAATTTTATCCATTGTTGTCTCATTGGAAAGATCGTGTCGCGTAGATTTGCAAACTGGCCTTACATTTTTGAAAAAGTCCCCTGGGCTCTGCCCCAGTGGCTTTGAAAGTTCCCATGAAGAAACACAATTGTTTACATTTTGATCAGCTGTATAATTTAATTGCTGTTATTATTCAATTCAATTAAACACATTGGGTACATTTATTTACTATTTGAGTTTGTGTAAACATAACCTCCAAGACGGATCGTGTTAGTATGGTTGTATCTTAAATTTGTGTATTTATCGTTGTTTTGTGTCGCTATGACGGATCGTGTTAGCATGATGGTAACTTAAATTTGTGCATTTATCGTTGTTTTGTGTAGCAATAATTTGTTTATTTGTTGTTTTTTTCTTTTAAATGCCTCCGACGCGACTACAACGAAACATAGACAGGAGGCGTAATCGTGATAACGACCGCAGCTACAGAACAGGGGCGCGTAATAGACTTAACTCATCACAGTCAGCACCTGACCCTGGACAATCTCAACTATTATGGTTACAAATGCGCCCTAATCCCAAAACGACTTTTCGTTGTCAATTGGCCCTCTATCAATGACCTGTGTTGCCTGTACAGCGAGGCATTTTAAGAAGGAGAAAACCGGACGGATTGCTTTAGGTTTATCAATAACTAAGATAAACATGGCCTGAGTTATACGCCGGTAATCTTTAAGTTGACTCTTTTAAACTCATTGTAAATATGACTGTTATTCGTTTTGAAATAACTTCTGTAATACTTTGCAATTGCTCGAATTCGAGCAACATGTACACTAGTACATACTATTTCATTACTCTGTACAGAAAGTTTTGAGAGAAGAATTTTTGAAGAAAGTCAAAAGCTAGTACCGGTAATTAATATATGAGCTAGAGTTTCTGTGTTATTATCATAGTATCTTACTAATATTATAAATGTGAAAGTTTGTGTGTTTGTTTGTTTGTGTGTTTGAAGTTCAATCACGCATAAACCACTGGACGGATTGGGCTGAAATTTGGCATGATGATAGCTTACATTCCCGATTAACATATAGGCACATTCTTATCTCAAAAATCCTTTCGGGCTCCGCCCCAGTGGCTCTGAAATTCCCCATGTTAACCTTATGAGTATTCATATTTAAAGGGAATTAAAGAATTTAGTCAGCTGTTTCAACTAAAAAAGTTGGTTCTATGATATGGAAAAGCATTAAAAAGTTATAAGATTTACCAACAGGGTGCAGCACTATATTTTTTGCATTTATGAAAACAGCTACCTAATTTGAACTAAGCAGCAACAAAAAACCGTGATTCGCAATGAGAACTGTCAAAGTAGGATTGTTTACAGTTATGTTTATGTTTTTCATTTCATGAATAATTTGTGATATTTTGCGAATTGTTGATAATTTATTTTTCTCTATTGTTTAGGTGAAGTGGTAGAACATTATGGCTATGGTAGATGTGTAATACTATAGAATACTGTAAATTTAAAAAAGCAAATTTTATCAAACTGTGTCCTCCCTTATTGCAAACGCAAAGCTTGAGTATAACTGCAATAAGCATTTTATACTTATATTCCAACCCCGTACAAAGGACGGGTACTCTGCTAGTATTTCTATAATACATCTAAATATGCCTAACATTCCTGATAAGTTGATTATAAAAAGCTTCATAGATAATAAAAACCTTTCTATCAGAGAAGAAATATAATAGCTTTATATGTACTGAGCTATTCTGTATGTGTGTATGTTTGGATTTCCTCACTCATAAAAATTTAGTGTGCATCAAAAAAATTAACTTTTGACTCTCTTATAAAATATCTATTTCAGTGGTCTTGGAATTTTTTCAACTCTTTAACTGTCAAAACGCTATTGGAGAAAATGTTGTCAATCAATGAATGAATAATAAAAATATAGCTTACAACAATCCTATACATTTAATTTATTACTAGTTATTAAATTTTGCAATTTATAAACATTCCAATGGTGGATAATCTATGTTACTTTTTACTGAAGAATGTTAATCATTCAGCTAAGAAACTTACTCTTTATTTCAATCCGGCCTTCATTCTTTTTATTACTTCCACCCAGGCGTATTTCATAGCCTAGATTTGCTGCAGAACAATTTCTTTCATCAGATCGATCACCACAGTCATTTTTCCCATTGCAAGTCTGGAAGGGTAGTATATATTAAAAGCAAATAGTTCACCAGTTTTCATTTATTTACAGATCATAGAGATGTAATCGTGGGATTTGATAAATGCAAATAAATTTAGAAGTACATGCAGCTGTCAGGTTTTTTATCAAATGAAGTCTATATATTTATGTGTGAGAACAACAATTTAACTTTCAAGAAGACGTTACGGAGAAGAATATTCATCCTGATAATTTTATCCTTTCCTGTTTGAAGATGGAGTGCATTTACAAACAAATGCTTTTACACCAGGGGTACTTATGGTTTCATTTTTGAATATCAACTGGCCAAAATTAAATCATTCCTTAAAGAATTAAGTTCTGAAAATTTCTCTTTGATTAAACATTAACAGCAGATAATAAAAAATAGTATAAAAATCATCATTCTACACTATTTTCTAATCATAGATACAATCGATCATATATATTGTAGAAAATGTATAGAGATGATTTTAGTTACTTTTTAAAACTTTTCAATCTCACGGCACTATGACATATTTAATTTAACTTACAATTATTCTGACTGTCATAAATTGTTTAAAATTATCAAACAAGATGTCATTCTAGTATCAGAGGAGCGCCCAGATAGTATAATAACTATAGCCGTACAACATTACAGCCATATAATAGCTATAGACTACATGTACTTACAGATTGTTTAGGGATGCATTTTCCATTGGCACACTGGAACATGTTGGTACAATTGATGGATTCAGAGATCCGTTCGTAATACTCCCAGTCTGGTTGGTTAGTAGACAATTTCCCCGTCATCCCAATGTTGGCATCACTTAGTAGACACACCTGATCCTTCCCTCTATAAAAAAAAAAATACTAGAAACTAGAAAGTCTTGCTTTAACCGCCATTTTGTGCAGATATGTCCATTTGGGTTCGCCAGTTTGCCAACTCTCTATTTGAACTAATTGTTCAAGCGCACAAACAGACATAGCTTGTATTAGAGTATAGGTCATAGCATAGACAAATAGAACTAAAGGGGTAGCGGATTTCTACCCCCGGATATTTACCCCCATGAAAATATGCCTACGTCATTTTGACGTCACGAGGGGCGGGGCCTATACACGGTCAAGAAACAGCCCGCGACTGGAAATCTACCCCCGGACATCTACCCCCGGACATCTACCCCCAGACATCTACCCCCGGACATCTACCCCCAGACATCTACCCCCTGTGGTCAGCTCTGTCACGTATCGGCCAATATTCATTGTTGTAATTGATTTTATTGACTGTTTTATGTCAATCAACGGCTCTTCGGTTAGTAATTGCCCTCTAATATCTAGTATTACGCATGTGATATGTCATTGTCTTGTTTAATATTATCTATCTTCCTAATGAAATAGGCTGTAACAGCCCTTTTTCACCCGAACTATTTCACCGATTTTTATGATCAAGGTGTAATTTTAAATCTTAAGATCTAGCGCAACGCAAAATGGTAATTAAAACTATATTTCGATAAAGGGCTTCAAAAGTTTGGACCTTAAGCATTTGATTTATTTCTAGACAGGGATTTAAATGTTTGGCCAACTTTCACACACAGTAACAGCTAATGGCGCATGCATGAGCGCAGATCGTGAAATTTAATACATATCATTGAAGGAGGTTATTTTCTGATTACTAGAGGTAAAAATACAGTGCAATTAAATGTTGATAAAAAGCCTGCCACTGGTTGATCAATAAATTAATTAATTACTAGGTGAAACCCGTCAAAATCGACGGTTGCTTTAAAGGCTTACGATAATTCTTTTAACTGTGACAGAGTGAAATTATAAAAAAACGTGAGCGCATAGCATTGTTTAATGAGTAATAAATAAGTATAGAAACAATAATGACTATTGCGTTAGTTACAAAATATGGTTTATCATTCAATGAATAACATATTTCTTATACCGTCCGTCATATGTGTTATTGTGTTTGGATGTGTTGGATGTATGTCATCATCAAATCATATCATTTATTTGTCTTTTGGATTTTTACAAATCATTGACAAAGTCAACACATCAGCCTATGTATAGGCCTACGTCATATACATACATACTACACATCTACAATAGTATAGGATTAAGTATCTAGAGGATGTAAAAATTAAAATGATAAATTAACTTAACTTTTTTTTCTTTTACGCTATCTATTAATAAAACATAAAAACATTTGAGAGTTTAGTAAATTTCTTAAAATGAAGGGAAAAAAGAAAAAAAAATGAAATAATATTAATTAGGAATAGTTAAATTCCAACAACAGTAATTAAATACATACAAAAATTTGTTCAAGTTTTTTTTTTGTCAAGCAATTAAAGAAGTTAGACAAATTTTGTAAATCATTTAAGAAACTAAATTTTAAATACCTCTAAAAATCTCATGTAAAATACAATATAATAATATTAAAAGATAATAGTAATAACATAAATAATAATAATAAAATAAAATAAAACAAGTGTAAAGATTACATTACCGGTATGTTAAAATTTGATTTCACCAATTTTTAAAAAGTCATCTAATGTATAAAATGGGTTATCTAGTAACCAATTATAGAGTTTGTTTTTAAATTGATTTATTGAATATTTTCTAATCATAGGCTCAAAGATATTGTAAATTTTTAAAGATATCACCACATGGCTATCCAACGATTTAGTTAAGCGACAATATTGAATCACTGCTTTAGTTTTGTTTCGGGTATTATAATTATGAATTTTGTCTTTGAATTTTAATAGATGAGAGTTTTTTAATATATAAACTGCGATTTCAAAAATATATAAGTCTATGACGGTTAAAATCTGAAGCTGCCTAAAAAGTGGTTTGCAATGTTCCCTAAAATGTACTCCAGCCATAATTCTAATCACCTTCTTTTGGAGCAGTAAAATGTCCTGAATTCCTGAGCAGTTTCCCCACAGTATTAAACCGTATCGAATGATAGATTCAAAAAAGGAAAAGTACGCACTTCTGATGTAATTTTTAGGAATAATGTTTATAAGGCGTCTCATAAGATATATTATGTGTCTTAGTAGACAGGATATGAGCACAATGAACTTCTTCTGTAGATAAATAATTCGTTGGCTAAGAAAAATATAAGCCATATTAATAAATATCTCAATCCAAGCGCATTAAAATAGCCCTGGCCTGAACCTTTTTTGTAGTATGTAGGTAGTTTAATAACATTGAAATGCTCTATTGTGTTTTCAATAAGCTGAATGAATACATCAAAGTAACATCTCTAACAAGTCTGCAATAAATTGCAATTTGGCAGATTAATGACTATCTAAATCGTGCATATATTTCTTCATAAAAATTATTAAAAATTTAATCCAGTTGCTGTAAACCACTATTAATTTAAAAATATTACACGGCTCATATGGGCAACATGCCCTTCTGCACTTGTATTATTTTGTATTGTATTACACAATCGAAATCTTTTCCAATAATTGAAAACATGTATGAAAATAATCTTATGAACCTATGATGATCTGTCTTAGATATGACAAAATATTGGCAAAAGTGGTCAAAAATGCAGACACCAAGCCGTACAATAGATATAAGATAATTCAATAAGTAATAATTTTAATAGTTACCGTATGTAATATATTCCAATGATTTCGTAATGGAACGTTATACTGTATTGCAGAACATAAGATGATGCAGAACAAAATAAATTTTTAAATCAGAAAACTACATTGTAAATACTTCTTTTTGACAAACTCAGTAATTCTCTAAGTGTTGTTTAAAATGCAATTTTAATATTAACAGCTGTTTCATTAAAAGTAGTGAAAAATTATCCATATGACGATAATGTAAACAAATCTGGGAAGGGAACTTTTAAAGGTTTGCTTAAGGGTCAAACTTTTGAAGTCCTTTATCAAAATATCGTTTTAATTACCATTTTGCGTTGCGCTGGATCTTAAGATTTAAAATTACACCTCGATCATAAAAATCGGTGAAATAGTTCGGGTGAAAAAGGGCTGTTACAGCCTATTTCATTAGGAAGATAGATAATATCATAGATAAAACATAGCCCCTTAGTAGATTTCCCATCCTTATAGAACAGCTGAAGCCAATTTTATTGTTAGTTCTGTCCTTTTTTCTGTAGATGTCGTGTTTTGTTTACAATTTGTTTCTATTATTTTAGGTTTAGTTTCTCATTATTTGTGTCCCACTGTTTGGTTATATAACTAGAGGACAAGTTGTTGTTTATGATTATATAGTTTTATTTGGTTAAACGAGGTTTTAAATTATTGAAATAACAAGAAACAAATTGTAAACAAAACACGACATCTACAGAAAACTGGACAGAACTAACAATAAAATTGGCTTCAGCTGTTCCATAAGAATGGGAAATCTACTAAGGGACTATGTTTTATCTATGATAATATTAAACAAGACAATGACATATCACATGCGTAATACTAGATATTAGAGGGCAATTACTAACCGAAGAGCCGTTGATTTACATAAAACAGTCAATAAAATCAATTACAACAATGAATATTGGCCGATACGTGACAGAGCTGACCACGGGGGGTAGATGTCCGGGGGTAGATTTCCAGGGGTAGATGTCCGGGGGTAGATTTCCAGTCGCGGGCTGTTTTTTGACCGTGTATAGGCCCCGCCCCTCGTGACGTCAAAATGACGTAGGCGTTTTTTCATGGGGGTAAATATCCGGGGGTAGAAATCCGGCGACCCAAATTAAACTAGTGGCTTGTAGGGACATAAGTCCCTAAAAAGCTCAAATGGAAAAGAAATTATTGTAATATTTAAACAAACTCAGAATCAAATTATATATGTGTCAGGATCGATATCACAGTACAACATATCTTTTGTGTAAAAAAAAACAAAAACAGTTTGTTATTTGTCTTTGTTTGCTTTTGTTGATGTTATTTTCATTAAAGAATTTTAATGATTCCAGAGGTTTAACTGCTAGAGAATAAATATTGGTTTATTAAGGTAGCTTTGGTTTTTTGGTTAATGCTGATAAAAAGGCTTCCACGATTGAAATACAGTATTGGAAATTGTCTTCGTCAAATAAGAAAAGGCAAAAAATGGTGTGTTGACATAAACTTAGTTCTTGGTCAAAACCGCTAAATTAGCATCCCTACCCTACCCAGTTATTATTTCTAAGTCTAAGCTCATTTTGTAAAGGTTTAAAACAAAATTAGTCTTAAGTAAAGGCATCCCATTGACAGAACTTAACCCTAAATTTGTTTCTGATGAAGATTAAAAAACCACTATTATTTGCCTAGTGTAAGTATATGTGGTGGTAATCCTCCTTAAGGTGCGATTAATTTACATATTCTACCAAAAAAGTGGCCTAATCAACGTTTAATTACTAACTATTTTGCAACTACAAACTATTTTGCGACTGATTAGGGTACCATTACCCAGTTATCGAAACTAATCACGACATAAATAGTTTTTGTTAGTTTTAAGAAACGGAAATTAGGTTAGCTCTATGTTCTACTGTTATAGGTGCTTTCTTTTCTACCGTGCATGCTAGGAGGTCCGTGAAGTTGGCGTACCCATATTAGCGTATCCACTTTTGATCATACCAATCGTTAGTTCATCGTTAGTTCTCGATAGTTCCCAAATTTTTTCGTTAGTTCTCAAAAAAAAAAAAAGTTATAGCCGATTATAAGTGGGTACGCTAATTTCACACTTCCGGGTTCTAGCACGCGCCGTTTTCTGAGGAGAAATGTTTACATCTATATACCAATCGTTAGTTCTTCGTTAGTCCTCGATAGTTCCCAAATTTGTTCGTTAGTTCTCAAAAAATAAAAAAGTTATGAGGCATACAAAGTGGGTACAACTTCACAA